AAAAAAAAAACCCAGAGAAACAGAAAACAGAGAAACTACAACCAAAAGTCTAGCTTCTGATGAAGCAGGAGAGAAAGAAGCCAAGTCTGATTAATATCATATACTATGTCTTACTGGTAGTCCCTGTTTCCCTTCTTGTACAATCCAGAGGAATATGTTTATCAACTATTTTTTAAATGCGAGTTCTTTCAGTAGCTCTAGAAACTTTTTTTTTTTGTTTTGAGACAGGGTCTCACTCTGTCACCCCAGCTAGAGTGCAGTGGCGTCATCATAGCTCACCACAACTTCAGACTCCTGGGCTCAAGCGATCCTCCCGCCTCAACCTCCCCAGTAGCTGGGACTACAGGCATGCGCCACCATGCCCAGCTAATATTTTCTATTTTCAGTAGAGATGGGGTCTCGCTCTTGCTCAGGCTGGTCTCAAGCGATCCTGCCACCCTGGCCTCCCAAAGTGCTAGGATTATAGGTGCGAGCTACTGCACCTGGCCTCGCAACATTTTTAAGGAGGGAATCCCACTTCATCCCATTTTTTAAGTGTAAATGCTTTTTTTAAAGAGGTAAAATCATTTCCTGCTTATTTTTTGGTACAACCAGAAAATAGTGTGGGATATTGAATTACAGGAGACTTTGACTATCCTGGGAGTCAGCTTAACATTCCATAGATGGGGGCTTAGTTTTTATATCCTATAATACAAAGCATACTAAATGGCAATGTGGAGTCACAGTCCTGCATTTAATATCTGGAACATTGTAAATTACCTCTGTTCCCATGGTATTTTGTTTTTGTTTGGGGCATTTTTTTTGTTCATTTTTGGGGGGTTTTTTTTGAGACAGAGTCTCACTCTGTCACCCTGGCTAGAGTACAGTGGTGTCATCATAGCTCACCACAACCTCAGACTCCTGGGCTCAATTGATCCTCCTGCTTCAGCCTCACCAGTAGCTGGGACTACTGGTATGCACCACCATGCCCAGCTAATTTTTTCTATTTTTAGTAGAGATGGGGTCTTGCTCTTGCTCAGGCTGGTTTTGAACTCCTGACCTCAAGCGACCCCATCACCTTGGCCTCATACAGTGCTAGAATTACAGGGAGGAGATACCACATCCAGCCCCATGTTGTTTTTTAGTAGAATTGTTCCCTAAAGAAAACCATTCCTTGATCATGGCTCTGCCTGTCAGAACTGTGGGTACTCTGTAACATCTTTGGTCATGGGAGTCTTGTTTTCCTAATAACTTTGTTAATGTGCTGTGAAAGATTGAAAATTTGCATGTGTAATGTATGTAAGTTGTGAATTGGTCAAACCTATGTAACAACTTATCAACAGATGAAGATAGTGGTACTTGCTATCCTCTTAAGGAGAATTTGCCTCCAATTTTAAGCTGGAAAGACACTGGAATAACTATTAAAAAAGAATTAGATTTAGATTTTTGGTACGTATGTTAAAAATTGTGTACAAATTGAAATGCCTGTGTACTGATCCTCAACCAATAAAATTTCAATTACTAAAAAAAAGGAGGACATCCTATGGAATGGAAGCAAATATTTGCAAACCTTACATCTGATAAGGGGTTATATTAATATATAAGGAACTCAACTCAATAGCAAGAAAACAAACAAACCTATTTAAAAATGGACAAAAGACCTGAAAATATTTCTCAAAAGAAGATATACAAATGGCCAACAGGTATATGAAAAAATGTTCAGTATCACTAATCATCAGGGTAATACGAATTAAAACCACAATGAGGTATCATTTCAGACTTGTTAGGATGGCTATTATCAAAAGGCCAAGATATAACAAATATTGGAGAAAAGGGAACATTTGTACACTGTTGGGGGCAATGTAAATTAGTATAGCCATTATGGAAAACAATATGGAGATTCCTCAAAAAATTAAAAGTAGAACTACCATATGATCCAGCAATTCAACTTCTGGGTATATATCTAAAAGAAATGAAATCACTATGTCAAAGGGCTATCTGCACTCCCATGTTCATTGCACCATTACAGTAGCCAAGATACAGAATCAATCTTAGTGTTCATCAATGGATGAATGGATAAAGAAAATGTGATATATATACACAATGGAATAACATACGGCCTTAAAAAAAAAGAAGGAAATCCTGTCATTTGTGACAACATGGATGAACCTAGAGGATAGTATGCTAAATGAAATAATCCAGACAGAAAGGCATATACTGCATGATCTCACTTATATGTGGAATCTAAAAAAGTCAAATTCATAGAAGCAGAGAGTAAAATAGTGGTTACCAGAGGCTAGGTGAGGAGTAGGGGCAGTGAGGTTGGAGAAACATTGGTTATAGGATGCAAAATTTCAGTTAGGAGGAATAAGTTCAAGAGATCTATTATACAACATGGTGACTGTAGTTATTAACAATATATTGTATACTTGAAAATTACTGAGAGAGTAGATTTTAAATGTTTTCACCACAAAAAGTAATAAGTATGTGAGGCAATGGCTATGTTAATTAGCTCGATTTAGTCATTCCACAATGTACACATATATCAAAACACATTATATGCCATAAATACATACAATTTTTATTTACCATTTTTTTAAATTAAAAAAAATTCAGTGAGACGTTTACAATCAAAATAAGGCTGGTATAACCTGAAAAATCACTCAACTATGACTAACTTTACATTTATCACTGTCACTTCTAACTCCTCACACAACTGTCTAAAACATGGGAACAGAATATATGCTTGCCCTTTTACTGCTGTTGTTTCTAAATTTAGCTGAAAAGTGTATGTAATAGGTTAACAAAGATATTAATTTTTTTAAGTTAAATTATATCAAATTAATTCGTCCTTCTCCTCAGGAGATTTTCAGTGCAGCCCTATGCACACCTGACACCCCAATTTAGTTGTGACAATAGATAAATCCTGCAACTAATCTGAGATCCCTTGAACAAAAGCAAGTATGAAAAAAATTTTTGACATATCTGTTTTAAACCTTACCTCTGTTCCAGAGTATTTATCGCTGATAATATCCATCTGTCTCTTAAATAGTTCTAATACAGCATTGTAGACCAGTTCATACTGTTCCTGAAGAGCATCACAAACAGGAACAAATGGAAAACAAAACAAAACATGGTGAGAGACCAGATTTCAGGACTATGAACACCAATCAAATCCTAATATAACAGACCCAAAAGGACCATCAACTTAAGTTATTAAACTTAATAACAATGCCTTACATTTGTATAGCCCAATTCAGATTTCAAAGCACTTTACACTACTAGAAATAGCTAAATATTTGATATACTTCTAGCTAATGTACATTACAAGGATCTTATGAAATGTGTCTATGTTCTATTAATAACCCCACTTTTTTACTTATCTTTCCCTCCACCATCATCCCTTTAATTCTGTTTTCCTTGCTCACATTTAAAAAAATTTATTTCATCCTGCATGCATTTTTGGTAAGCCACCTTCATCTTTCTTGGAAAAAGGTACATAGTGGTTGGTGTATATATAGATAGCTTCAACATGTTTGTTTTTTTTTTTTTTTTTTTGAGATAGAGTCTCGCTCTGTCACCCAGGCTAGAGTGTCATGGCGTCAGCCTAGCTCACAGCAACTTCAAACTCCTGGGCTCAAGCGATCCTCCTGCCTCAGCCTCCCAAGTAAATGGGACTACAGGCATGCACCACCGCACCCGGCTAATTTCTCTATTTTTTGTAAAGATGGGGTCTCACTCCTGCACAGGCTGGTCGCAAACTCCTGACCTCAAGCTATCCTCCCACCTCGGCCATCCAGAGTGCTAAGATTACAGGTATGAGCCACTGCACCTGGCCTAACATGTATTCTTTAACTTGACCCCCACAGTTGCTCTATAAATTAGGTAGGTTGTTAGAGCTATTTATAGACAGTTTGTCCAAGGTCATTCTGAAGTAATTTACGGGACTTGGCTTAGAAACTGAATCTTCTGACTCTTACTTTAGTGTACTTAGATCAAATTGCTGAAATTTCATCATAATAAAGATACCAAAGAAAAGTAGACCACTGAATAAGGTTTGGAAATTTGGAAATTATAAAAGGATTTCACCATAGAGAAATGAGACCGCTATTACACAGTTTATGGGTTATTACCACTCTATTTTCGCCTCTGTATCTGCTCAGACACTTGATTTTGGATCTATTTTTTATCTGAATGGATCTATTCAGAATTTTCCTTGATACTTTATAAACGATCCTATACAAATAAAGAACAACTTTTTTCAAAGATAATTTAGCAGAAAACAATGCAGAGTTTCTATCACCCAACACAGCCACTGGTATACTCTTTAACTTTTTTAAGAGAGAAAAATCAAACAGGAAGCATTCATCTGGTTACAGTGCCATTTCCTGGTTAGAGTAGTGTCAGAAAAAGCAGCTACAACTGTTAAGATATTTGTCCTTGATAATGTCAAAATGTGAAGGCTTTTTCAGCTATCTTTCAACTCTTAAAAGTAGGCCTGAAATGGAATTTTTTTGAAATAGGTTATGGTTTTATGAATTGAGTATTACAGATTGTATAACTAGGTTGCATACTTCCTGGAGTCTTTATGCATTTACATGGAACAGCCTTCTTTCAAGTCTGATAGCACTAAACTAGCTAATGCTGTCATTTCACAGAAACTTTCCCCCTCACAGGTTGAATATAGAAAACACCTACAGTCACACATGAAAAAAAATTATTTTTTTCCACTAGCTATTAGTGGAAAACTTGTGTAGGCCAAACAGATAGGTTTATATTATAACAGCTCTTTATTTTTTCCCTTCAATTCACAACTTCTATATTAAAATATCTGAACTGCCATTGTCAATTGTTTTATCTCTAAACTTATGTGCAGGTTCATGTGTAAGTGTTCTAAACACTTTAGGGTCAGGCCAGGCGCGGTGGCTCACGCCTGTAATCCTAGCACTCTGGGAGGCCGAGGCGGGTGGATCGCTCAAGGTCAGGAGTTCGAGACCAGCCTGAGCAAGAGCAAGACCCCGTCTCTACTAAAAAATAGAAAGAAATTATTTGGACAACTAAAAATCTATATAGAAAAAATTAGCCAGGCATGGTGGCGCATGCCTGTAGTCCCAGCTACTCGGGAGGCTGAGGCAGGAGGATCGCTCGAGCTCAGGAGTTTGAGGTTGCTGTGAGCTAGGCTGACGCCACGGCACTCTACTCCAGGCAACAGAGTGAGACTCTGTCTAAAAAAAAAAAAAAAAAACACTTTAGGGTCTTGTATTTGAGTAGTAAAAAGTAGTTCTTACAAATTATGCAAAATTGCCTGTTACATATAAACATCAATAAATATTTGATGAATGAATGAATGGGTAAATGCTTAATTCTATATTAAAGATGGAGAACATTTAGAAATGTGGGTAAAATTATTGCTACAGAAATATGGGTGAAATTAATATTGTAGACAGTGAGAGATGTGGGCTAAGAAGAGAAGGGAAGAGCATTCCCTAATGGAGTGAACAAGCATGAGCAATCTTGGATGGGTTAAAAGATTTTGATATGTATATATAGTATGATTGTAATTATGTTTTTTTAAAGAATACATACAATAAGGAGCAGGAGAAACTATAGAAAAATAGTAACAATGGCTCTCTCTAGGTAACAGGTATATGGTTGATTTTATTTTTATTTTTCAGTGTTTCCTAAGATGAGCATATGGACTGCATTCTACAGATTCTGTTACCACTTCCTGAAGCAGAAATTATAAATTCCTGATTTTCTGTGGTTTCAGAGATGAATTTTATTACTACAAAATTTCAAGTTAACATGATCGAGCTATTTCTAGTAAGTCAAACAGCTTGTTAAATTGTTTTTAACATCTTTTGTAAGAAATGTTATATTGGTTTCTTAATATTTTATGAAGAAACAGTAAAATTTAAGGAATGAAAGGAATTTGTTCCAGGACAAGGGATACACACAAAATGCTGGAATATTCAGAGTTAGAGGAAATGGCAATGGACTTTAAAGCACTTAATAGTAAATTAGTGTTATTTCTGAGCAGTCAGCTGTTGTTTTTGTTTCGTTTTGTTTTTTAATTAATAAAGATGGGGGTCACACTCTTGCTCAGGCTGGTCTCCAACTCCTGAGCTCAAGTGATCCTCCTGCCTCAGCCTCCCAGAATGCTAGGATTACAAGTGTGAGCCACCGTGCCTTTTTTTTTTTTTTTATGGTTTCAAACAACAGAAATTTATTCTCTCACAGTTCTGCAGGCCAGAAGCTTGAAAGCAAGGTGTCAGCAGGGTTGATTCCTTCCAGAGGCTCTAAGGGAAAACCCATTCTATGCCTCTCCCCAATATCTGGTGGTTGCTGGCAATCCTTGGCATTCCTTGGCTCATAGCTGCACAACTCCCATCTCTGCTTTTCCCTTCACATGGCTGCCTCTTCTTCTCCTCAGCTGTTTTCAAATGCCTTACCATTAAACAGAGATGGAACAAGGCTCAGACACATGTTCTGATCCATTCACCATAGTCCATACCTGAGTTTGAACTAATGAAGGCCTCTGTGTTCGCATTTCCTGGATCAAACTAAAAACACTGAAGTTCTCAGGAATTATCTATCAAATAAAAGGGAAAAATATTTTATTCTTTTTGATCCTCTGTTAAAAAGTATTGCCACTTTTTCATAGTCTTATATTTCCATGACATCTGTTCTCCTAACATGGGATAATATCAGAAAAAGAATGCATTTTTAAAACAAATGAGGTTTCTTATCACTTGCAACATGATTTTTAGAGCCTGGTGTTTTCCCTAGAAAAAACTGAAAAAACTCTTCAGAATGATTTCACATGGTGTAATCAAATGTCTCAAACTAAAGAAATAATGAAGGACAAGGGCTCAGTAGATAAGCAAGCATGAGAGTTTTATGAAATAAAAGAAGTTGACAGATAAGTCTAAAGCCCATATTTTAAACTTCCCATTTCCTATTAGACATTAAAAGTGATTTATAGATTGGAACACAAAGTTTGATTGTGGTTAGTTAAATCCATCTACTAAAGCAGTTTGGATAAAGGAAGGTAACTATGTAATTTGGAGCAGTGGTTCTCAAACTTTAGTGTGCAGCGGATTCACCTGAAGCTTGCTGGGCCCTACCTCCAGAGTTTCTAATGCAATCCATTGGGGTGGGGCCAAACAATTTGCATTTTTAACAATTTCTCAGGTGATACCGAGGCTTCTTGTCTGGGGACCACACTTTAAGAACCACCTACTTAGGAACTAATTTAATCATCTGACAGGGTGAGTCTATAGGTGAATATATTCTAGAAAAGAGGAATCACGAAGGTAGATATTTTGAAAAACCAAACAATTCCCTAGTCTGAAAGCAGGTAGAGTAAGCAAATGGGAAGTACCTGTTGAGAGAAACTCACCCCATCTTTCAGCAACATCCACGTATAATCAATAGCACAAATAACACCAGTCCTTCCGCAGCCGGCACTGAAATGAAAGATCACAGTAGCATGTATCCTTGTAGAGAGTGGATCATTGACAATAGCTGGAAATTTTCACCACCGGATTGGAGGAAGAAGAAGCCTAGAGGCAATGAAACTTTTCAAACCCTACCATTTCCCAAAGCACATTTGTCATGCCACCGTGAACCTCAGGACAGGTCCTAAGCAACTTCTCAGGGCATGAATATCTAGAGCTGTACTGTTCACAAGTAACTTATCAGAAAAATATGAATTTAATCCTCAGGTTGAATTTTTATAGTTTGTTTCTGCTATTGACCTTTCCTTTTTAATTACAGAGTCCTAGCCAGAATCTGACATTCGGTTTCTTCTAGGCAGAAGGCTCATACACAGCATCATACCTGCAGTGAATGCATATGGGAACACTGTCATCCTCTTGGTAACAACGCACATCCCAGATGAGCTCAAGAATAGGGTCTATAGATGAGGGCACATCATGGTCTGGCCAATTCTTGTAATGAAACTGGTAGATAGTTCGAGTTTCCTATAAAAAATAGTCAAAATAAAAAGAGATTTCAAGGTTAGGACTCTACCTAACCTTAGTCTGACTTACTAAGTTACATCTATATTCCTTTTGCAATTTATTCTACTTTCTTCTCTATAGATCTGCAGTGACCAGGTGCTTTCTGAAAACAATTAAAAATGATTTCGGGTCACTTACTATCAGCTTGTCCCTGGCCTATTCATAAGAGGAAGTAGATATGAAAATAGTTCAAACCAAAGCTTCCCAACTGGTGTGCTTCAAATGGGTCATAGGCATGCTGATATATTAAATCCCCTTGCCTTAGAAAGGCTTAGTAGGGCCTAGGACAGCCTGAGCTCACATGTTGGTCCCCAGTCTCTATTCACTGTTCAGCCTCTATTTATCCTACAAATATTATCATTTTATATGTGTGCTGTGGTGTGGAATTGGTTGGGGAGCACAGATTACAGCAAATGTCTCTTGAATATGAAGACTTATTTAGGACATCAAAGGCTCCACCACTCCCCGTTTTCTTATGCCCATCCTGAGTCACACACACATATATTTATGTACCTAATTTCTGTAGGCTTTTGAGTTTGTAACTCTTGTTTTACACTTACACTATTGAACTTGGCTTTTAGAGTCCTGATAACATAATCGGATTTCCTTTTTTCAGCTTCCTAAGAAGAAGATTAAAATATTAGTAATTTCAAAGGCAAGCAAGCTCTCTATAAACTAGATCCTGGAGCCTTTGCTCAGCCATAATGGGAACAGACCTTATACTTACACAGGATATAGAAAAAGGGCCAAATTGCAGCTGCATCTCTCCTGGGTCAGCCCAGTAGCGCTCACATTTTTTCTGTTGCACAAAGCAAAATGTAGTGATTTCCCTCCATATGTATTCTAGTCTCTTCTGGGAAATAAAACCCACTCCCTCATTCAGAAGCAACTTCAGTTCTATGTCCTTCATCTTAGGTTAGGTACTTCTAACCCCCTCCGGCTTCAACTCCTATATCATTGGAATCTCCAAGGGTGGAAAAACAAACATTAAAGGATACAAATTACAGACTTCCTGGAAGTCTGAAAGAGTGGAAATAGGGATGTTTGACCTATTTTCAGTATTTCAAAAGGACCAACATTATGTGTATATTAAAACGACTGCACAAGATAAGTGAAATACCAAGTTTCCTTGGTTTTGATTAGAATTATCAACTGAGGATAGCAACAATAAGTTAGAACAATGATATCCAGTAAAAATAAAATGTGAACTACATATGTAATTTAAAATTTTCTAAAAGTCACATTAAGAAATAAAAACAGATGAAATTAATTTTAATAACATCTTAGCCCAATATACAAAAATTTCAACACATAATCAATATAAAACAGTTATTAGATATTTAATTTTTTTACTAAGTCTTCAAAATCCAGTGTGTATTTTATATTTACAGCTAATATCAATTAAGATGCTAATATTTCACTGGAAATATTTTATTTCTATTTAGATTTCATAGCATTTACATATGAAAATTTTTCACATACCCAAATTGTTTCATACTTCAAGTTTTCCAGTAACTGAATTGAGTACCAGTTTTTAAATTTAAATTACTTAAAATTAAACAAAATAATTGAGTTTCTCAGTCACAATAGTCATATTTTAAGTGCTCAATAACTATATGATGCCATGTTGGACAGCACAGGATTAGAAGCTCTGACTGGCAGTTAAAGATGTCTGATCACTAGAAAGGGGAAAGTAGATTGTTACTTTAAAAAGCATCTTTTTTTACTTTAAAACATAGAGTCTACTGGGAAAATGGATAATAGGGGTTCTTAGGGGTAAAAAAGAAAACCAACCCAAGAGTCACGTGCCATTCCCAAACTGAAAACTAGGAAGATAACATAATTTTTACCTAGGCACACTTAAGGTAAGTTCTGCTGCCAATTTTTCCCTCCTTTTTCTTCTTTCCTTACCTTTAGGTCAGCAGGTACTAGAAAGTAACTCACCTTTCCCATTTCAAACTCCATGCATGCCATAACAATGATCTGGGGGGATAAAATAGAAACTTAAACATTTACATCGTTAGAGAAGTTAATATATGAGTTCCAGAGTCAGAAATTGTTAATCATTCTTTTCTGTTTTGTTTGGTTTTTTTTGAGACAGGGTCTTGCTCTGTCACCCCGGCTAGAGTACAGTGGCGTCATCATAGCTCACAGCAACCTCATGTTCCTGAGTTCAAGCAATTCTTCTGACTCAGCCTCCTGAGTAGCTGGGACTACAGACATGTGCCACTACAGCTGCCTAATTTTTCTATATTTTGTAAAGACAGGGTCTTGCTCTTGCTCAGGCTGGTCTCGAACTCCTGGCCTCAAGCAATTCTCCTGCCTCAGCCTCCCACAGTGCTAGGGTTACAGGAGTGAGCCACTGCACCTGGCCTGTTTTGTTTGTTTTTTAACCAAAAAAGAAATCCTGGTAACTTATAGAATGTTGCTTTTACTCTTCTTCTTTCTGTCCCCACTTCCCGTTTCTCTACTCAAATCAGTAAATTCTTGTTACCAAATGATTCTGTCAAGGTGAGAACTTCTATTTCCTTGAACAAGAATGACATTGTGATTTTGGTGCCTGAACCCTGAAATTCCATTGACCAATTAACAAAAAGAGCATTAGTTTTAATAGATAGAAAGTCTCAGTCACACATCCTGAAACTCTACCACCTCTAATCCTAAGAACTAAAGAATAAAGTAGTAATAAAAGCAACTCTACACTTACCAGGACACTGTATTCCCAAATCATCCTCCAGAAGTCCAGGAGAGTTGAAGATAAAGGACCCTGGGTGGCAATATAAGCCTTGGGTCCATAAACTCCCTAAAAGGGAATAGAAATTACATGGGGTAACTACAGATAATACCCTCTTCTTCTCGCCTGTTTCCCCCCAAACCCACACTTTTTTTTAGGTACCTAAAGAAATATAGAATGCTTTTATTTCCTTTCAATGTACCTTAATGAAGTTGGCATTGATGTAGCTGGAATCCTCATCAGAGCTTATCAGGGACAGCGCTACTCGGCTATAATCATCTATAATACAAAAGCAAGGCATAGTATAATTAAGAGGGCTTAGTCAGGGGAGCTACTGTAAATCAGGGCCTAACACGGTGAATAATGGATGCTCATGAGTGAGCAATTGAATGAATGCTTTTTTGCAGTCATAAATAATGCAAACTCATTTGCCAATGCCCTGTTCTAAGATTAGGAACCCCAAGCAATGGGTAAAAAAAGATAGTAGTGATTGAATTTGGGAGAAAGTATGAGTTTATAGGGAGAAATGGAACTTACAGGGCAAAATATCTTTATATCTGTTTTTCTTGATATTCTTGGGCCTCTCAGCCACAGTTGTAGGGTAGGTTTTGTCTGCCTTGTACTTGGTAGATTGCCTTTTCAGCTTCTGTAATAAAATTCCAAGAATAATTAATCTTCCTAGAGAAAGGAGGAAAGAATCTGTCTCTAGAGAACTTTCCTTCTCCATTGCCCAAACATTCTACGTCAAGTCTTTTAGCATCCTCTAGGGCTGACTCCATTCAGAACAGATCTGCAGGACATAAGGACAGCAGAGTTCAGTGACATTTGGAGAAGTGAAAAGGCCACACTTACTGCAGCTGAGACACATATAGCTAAAACTTAGAGATGAAACTGGTGAATATTGTAATAACTAAATATCTTCTGAAAGGAAGCTCTATGCTTTGCCCAATGGGCAGATATTAAAAGTATGATTTACATTCTTTATAGTTGTTATTTATATTTAGTTTAATGGTGAACAGGAAAGTTATTAACTTACATTAGTCTTTTTACTTCAGATCACTTTTTTTCCTAAGTGGAAATGGAGCTTAAGTGAATAAAATCTATATCCAGCAAAATTTCAAAGATTTCAGTCCCCAAAACGGTCATTTTTTTTATATGACCCAAACTTTAAGCCCACCCCTCAACCAAACAATAATCTTTAAAGACTATTATATTCTATTGGTAGAATATGATCTGTGCCAGGCAGGAGCTAGCTTAATGTGGTTGAGCAACACTCCTCAAAATAGTGAAGTAACTTCTTACAATTATTCCCATTTTCTAATATTATACTGTAGACCAAAACTTAAGGTCAGAAGGAATGACTCTTTGGCTCTTCCTTAGGAATCAATCCTGTTCCAAATTTTGTTTATCATTCCAAGAAACCACATTTACTAGACCTGGCTTTTGTGAACCCTTACTCAGTTTGCAAAATATGGAAGGAGGTGACATCTATGATAATAAAAATATTTGTTGAATTAAAGTGAAGAAAATAATTTTCATTATTTTCCCACCATTTAATGGTGAATGGTCAGTCACACGAGGAACATTATTTTCCTCCAATGGGCTAGATCCCTCAGCATCTACTCAGTCTTCAATCTCTTTAACTTCCGTCTTGAAATTTCCTCCTACTTTGGCCCTTATTAGTTTATGTTATCTTGGTTCTCCTTCCCACTTCCCACTCTTTCTTATTGGCTCTCTGTTTGGTTTTTTTTTTTCTGTCTTCTAATTGAGAATTACCCAAAGTTCCAAAGTCAAATCCTCAACTTTCTGCTCTTCTATTATTATATGCATTTGCTCAGAGATACCACCTGCTATTAGAGAGAGCATACAAGTGTTTGTTGACTTATTTAACTGATTCAAATTGAATTATATTTCCAACTCCTACTGGATCAGTTTCAAATGTTTATATTGAGATTTGATTACTAAATCCTGGTCCTGAATTCCCAACCATGTCCTGAACATTTCCACTTAAGTATGTTATTACACCTTTAGGCTCAGCACATTTAAAACTAACATCATCATTGTCCTCACTGTAAATGCTAGTGGCACTATCTTTATCCCAGACAGCCATACTCTAGAAACTGAGAGTCACTTTTGGTTCCCCTTCCCACAATTCTCACCTCCAATTCAGTTAGCAAGTTCAATTGATTCTTCCCGTGCACTATCTTGCATTAGCCTTCATTTCCATGCCCACAAACAGACATCTTAGTTTAGGCCTTTTCCCCTAAAGCTTGAACTACCACAGTTGCTTCTTAATTCATCTTCACATATTTCTTTTCTCCATTCAAATCCATTGTACAAAATTATGCCAAATTATACTAAAATACTGTTTTCCTTATCTTTCCTGTACTCGAAACAACTTCAGTGAATCCCTTTTGCTTCTAGGGGAAAAAATCCAAACTTCTTAGCCAGGTACTTAAGGCTCTCCCCAGTTAGACCCCAAGCTAACTTTCATATACTTCCCATTGCCTCCAACTATGAGGTCTCTAAAGATGACTTCTAGGTTCAAGATTGTACAAATTTATATCACTGACACCTATGTATTATATAATATGATGTATTTAAAACTAGCACTTTCCTTTTCTTTCTCATAAATGTACCCCCAGTACTGCTTTTGCATTTCGAAGCCACGATTATAGTCTGTTTTGTTCCACAGGGAGAACTAATCAAGAGAAGTAAGAAAATCGAGAAAGACATTTTCTCAAGTGACTAGCAACAAGAAAAAATTTTAAAAGAAGGGGATTGTTAATTACTATAACTTAGTTGTTTATATTTCATATAGTGTTTTCACATAATTAATTATGATATGCATCTATCTGTAGGAGTTTACTTAAGGAGACTTAACTAAGTAGTTTTAAAAAAGGGGGGTGCAGAAAGGGGATCCTAAAATAAAGATACAATAACACTGAGGAGATAGATACCGAGAAAAGAAACAGTAGAGAAAAAAATTTGATCTAATAACTCATCCAGAAAATTGCAACTTTAAGTGTAATGACATATAACAAAACCAATTTTACTATAGGCTAATTGATATGAACTAGATTTCAGTTCCTACATCATATTTCTGGTCACAAAAACTTCTAAATAAACATCAAAACACTTCTAATATTAAACATTAAAATAAATGTCAGCTATACAAAACAAAAACAAAAAAAACCCAAATCATCCAAATCCATCATTAGGTTTCAAAATTGGCTCAGGATACCTTGTTAAATATGTCAATGATTCTACAAGGAGAGGAAAAATGTTGAGATCATAATATGTTTGTTATCTGGGAGTTCATAACACAAACATTACCAAATGTCTAGAATCTAATTAAATGATACTTTCCAAATAATAAGTAGTTCATTAAATTATTAGTGTATAGGAATATAAACTTTTTCCAACTAAGGATGCCAAATGGAACAGACGACCAATGCTTGCTTATTTGCTAGACCACAAATGCCAACATGTATTGTTACAGTGACCATTTTTTTCTGTTTCTAGAGGTCAGTCAGACACAGGCAACCTTGAAAAGCAGGTATACAATCAGTTCTTAAATCTTAACTTTTTTTTTAACCACACAATAGTCCCCTCTTATCCATGGTTTTACTTTCCATGGTTTCAGTGGCCTGTGGTCAACTGCAGTCCAAAAATATTACAGTATTTTGAGAGAGACCACATTCACAGAATTTTTTTACAGTATAATTGTTCTATTTTATTATTAGCTATTGTTGCTAATGTCTTACTGTGCCTAATTTATATATTAAACTTTATCATAGGTATGTATGTATAGGAAAAAACAACATAGTATATATAGGGTTCAGTACCATCTGCAGTTTCAGGCATCCACTGGGGTTCTTGGAAAATATCCCCCACAGATAAAGGGTGACTCCTATAGTTTGAATTTTTGTATATTTTTAGAATTGGATTTGGGAGGAGAGGTGCTGAAGTGGTATCTGTACAGCGTATTTTTACACCAAGATGTATGTATACAAGCAGACTAGTTTGGGAATTAAACTAAGGGCATGACACAGACACATGACAGCCTATAAAGTATTTCTGCTGAAGTTATGCCAATTTTCCAACCCTCTCTGCTTTTATGCAACTTCAGAATGATCATTTTCAGGTTGTTATTGAGCCCAGGGCTGCTGAAAAGATCTCGAGTCCCAGAATAGCTCCTAGAAATCTCCAGAACTGAGTCCAGTGCATACTCCTTGATATACTGGTTTTTATTTGTTTGTTTTGTTTTGCTTGTGGAATGCTTTCCAGGGAGAATGCTATACACAAATGCCTTTTTATAAAATATGCTTCAATTAATTTGGCAAAGTGTCACAGATGAAGATTGTGTGTGTGTGTGTGTGTGTGTGTGTGTGTGTGTGTGTGTGACTGATACTTGTTTAGCTCCCTTTACTGCCACCTTCAACAATGGGGCAGAATGGCTTTTTTCCCCCTACTCTTTTCCTCTTCTTTCTGGAGTCATTTGGTTGGATGACAAAGGGAGACACTCTTTTAGCAAAACATCACACAGGAAATGCCTATAGAATTTTTAACTTGTAAAGTGTGAAAAATTTGATTTTTTCCCCCAGACATCTTATCTTAATGTCAGACCACTGTGAAGGCCTCTCCTCCTCTTTCTGCTAGACCCCCAGGCTCCAACACTCTAACAGAGAACAAAACAGGACAAAATTAGGGCAGAAGAACGGATAAACCCCACCAGAAGAAGAGGAACTCTGAAAGTAGGAAGCAAAAGTGTATAAAAGAGACAGCAGGACCATGGGGGTATGTTGAGGTTTGGAAAGAAAAGATTGGAGGTCATAGGGGTAAAGGTATTTCTCTGCCAACCACAAGATAGGGGATGTGAGTTCCCTAGAGGAGGCACCATCAAGAGAAATCAAGGGAAGAACTGCCAAAAGAATAAAGTGAAGAGAGAGGGAGAGACTAGCATTCCTTGCGGGGCCTGAAATAGGGTGGAATGTGTAAGAAACCAGATTGTGTGTGTGCTTGTTAAGCTAATAGTAAGTTCACTTGGTTTGAAGACTACACGACCCCTTCCCTTTCAAGAAAGGAGAGGAGAGGCCAGGCACAGTGGCTCATGCCTGTAATCCTAGCACTCTGGGAGGCCAAGGCGGGTGGATCGCTCAAGGTCAGGAGTTCGAGACCAGCCTGAGCAAGAGCGAGACCCCTGTCTCTACTAAAAATAGAAAGAAATTATTTGGACAACTAAAAATCTGTATAGAAAAAATTAGCCAGGCATGGTGGCGCATGCCTGTAGTCCCAGCTACTCAGGAGGCTGAGGCAGGAGGATCGCTTGAGCTTAGGAGTTTGAGGTTGCTGTGAACTAGGCTGACGCCACAGCACTCTAACCCAGGCAACAGAGTGAGACTCTGTCTCAAAAAAATTAAAAAAAAAGAAAAAGTAATACATAAGTCATTGAAGAAAATTTAGAACATATAAATGAAAATAAGATGATAAAATCACCTATAATCCCACTACCCAGAGTTAACCATCCTTAATATTTTGTAATATTACCTTCCAATATTTTATGTATATGTGTATAATAAAGATGGGATCACACTATATATAGGGTTTTGAAACTTGCTCTTTTAACCTATCAGTTTGTGTTCT